AAATTTCCTGGCGATTTGCGAAAAAATGATTAAATTTTTATTTTTACATTCATTTCGAATATATATTATGCACAGAATATTATATAAATCGATTTCTGACTCTTTAAGTTGTTTTTGTAATAACTTGGACTTGGTGATATTCGATAATAGTATTTAATGTGATATTTTTCTAGCTGATATATATATAATAAATAGAGTTTTCCGCAAATCGCCAGGAAATTTTGACATTCCTGTCAAAATTTCTTGAAGAAAAAGTCAGGACTTCCTTACTGTAAGGAAATGATATTTCCGTACAGTTGTTAGTGTTCTACATAAATGATAGAAAACACATTGCTTATAAGAAATTAATTTATATTTTGAAAACAAGTTTGACAATTCAACCTCAATACGTTTCCATAGTAACCCAAGTAATTTTATTAGGAATTTCAAAGCACCATTTATTTGGGAATAAAATTATCGCGTTTTTTTAAATCAATCAATATCTGTCAAATTTTAAACGATTTGCGGAAAAATAGTATGTTTACCTCGTAGGAAAAGCCACATTCCTGGACTCTGTGTTGCTAAGTCTCGGCTTGCGCCTCGACTTAGCAATCTTCACAGTCGTCCAGGAATGTTAAGCTTTTCCTACCTGGTAAACAATGTACTATTACGGTGTTTATAAATTTATAAATGTATGATATTTATATCTAATTATCATAAGGAAAACGGCAACTATCTTTTAAATTTGTGTATACTTGTTCAGAAGCATTTTCATTTTGTTTTCATCACAATAAAAATTGTAATTAGTAATGTTGTGTTTTACTTTGATTGTATTGATACAGTTGGTTTTGTTCTTCCTGTTGTAGATCATGACAAGAAAACTACAAAAGTATACTAGAATGTAACATAATAGACTGAATTAGTTGATTGTCTCACAGAAATCCAGTATTTTTTAGTAAATTTTATTTATTGATAACAAATGGGACAAACTCACTGTCAAAATTAAACAAGAATCCAGCATTAAAGAAATTGCGAGTACACACTTATTTATACAAATTTATTGTTTTGCATTTTAGTGCTTCAAATGGATTCTTAAGATATTGATACATAAGTTAAATCTATCTAATAAGGTAACTGATTACCATGCATGAAAAGTAGGACCACACCTATATTTGAACCATAATTTATTCTGTGATATGAAACATGAAAAAGTCAATTCTAAAGCAGTTAATGGGAAGGAATATGTAAAACAAACTGGCTGAAGCAATTCAGGAGATTGCATTGCTAAGCTTAAAAATAATGATCAAAGTCAAAGTTAATTCTTCTGGTAAGAAGATTTAACCTAACCTAACCTAGATTCAAGAAATTAATCACACCAGAATAAGAATATGGTCTGCGCAGTTTAAAAGAACAGTATTTCAGAAATCTTTGAACTCTCTCTAACTTTTTGATACATGCATTTGCATAGCTTTGTTGCATATAAGATCTATTTGCAAATTAAAAGACAAATTTCTGTGAAAAAACCATACTTAGATCTGTAACATTATTGACTCTCTGGATCAAAATATTCTCTAAATTAAGTACCATCGACTCAAAAGATCTATAAAACTGGATCACCCGATATTTAAATATATATACATGGAACCAAATGTGAAAAACGTCCTTTTTTATTGTAATAATTATTGTAATATATATTGGAAGTGAATTAAAAAAAATATTATTCAAACATAAAGTTAGGTTAGAATTGACGTGAAAGGTTGTCTTATATTAACTACTCGATTACCGCAAGGCCGAGATATACAACAAAAAAAGAAGATGTATTTGGTGACTTTTCTAGTAACTTTCTTGGGTGTGAATCTGTCTTTTTGGTTTACTCCTCCTGGTTAAAAAACAGATTATAGTAAGTTATGTTTTTGATTTGGTCAATTAATCAAGTAAAGAAAGTAATTACATAACAACATATATACAAATAGTTAATCAAGTATTGAAGATATTTTGTAAGAGTTCTTTAAAGTAATCAAGAAACTTTTTCTTTTTTTATTTGTTTTAATCTCCGTAATGATGGCACGAATCCTACATTTTTAGCGTAATTCTTATGCGAACCTATCAGGGATATTGAATGAAATAATTCCGCCGTAATTTTCGATCAGTAAATAAAGTAGTAAATTCAGTCCACCGCACCGATTGATATCCAAAGTAATAAAAAACTGAGATTATAACTAGATTTTCTCATCTCGCATCGGACGGAGTAAAAGCCGCAGCTTCTTTTCCTCGAAATCGAATATCGTCTCTGTTAATCAAATCTAGATGAGTTCTGGCAAAAACTTCCCATTAAGACATTTTCATTTATTTTATCTGTATTCTTTTAAATTACTTTTCGAGAGAGAAAAGAACGACTCACTCATACTGATAAATCCACGATCTGTTTATATGAAAAGTTTTTCCTGGAAACTACATGGACTTTTCCAGATTTTCTCGTTTTTCGCAATTCCAACGGCGACAGTGAAAATTTATGTAGGTTTTCTCCACGGGTGTAGATGTGTGAGGCGGTGGGAGGCAAAATCACCCTTTATCAGAAATGACACTGCAGTCGGTAACGTGAAAAATCTAAAACAGTAACGTGAAAAATCTAAATGTAAAAAATGTTCTTTATTTATAGAAATGCAGACAATGTTGATAAATTGTAATGCAGAGTCTTTGAGTGGTTAAATAAAATATTCTTCTTTTTTTTTCTTTTTCCTCTTTATAAGCACTTCTGCTTGTTCATTGGCGGATTAATACCTCTATGGAAGGTTGTCACTCCATCTTCTGCGCGGTCATTGTAACATTTAAATTTTACCCCGTAGACAATAAAACACCGAAAAATATTCTCAATCTTTCTGCGTCGCTGAGATTGATAATATAAACATTTTTATTTTGTTTGGTACACAGATGGTATTTCTTTTGATGTTGATCCCGCCTATTGGATATTTAGTGTCAAATAAACAGGAATCTGTTCGTCTATGCCGGCAACAGACCAGATTTTTCTTTAAATTCGATATATTTGTTCGTTCTTTGCCATTTAAAAACAGTGAAGTGTAGTTACAGTTAGAGTGAGTTAGGAGATTTGGATTTGGGAGATAGCTTTCGACGTGTAGTTTTCAAACATGAATGTTCATATTTTAAAGTTATGTTATGGTTTAATTAAAACTTTAATTATTTTTTACTGTATTTAAAAGTATTTTCTTGTTGTTTTTATTTGAGTTATTATAAAATTATTCAATAAATCATTGAATCATCACAACTAAAAGGGAACCATTCTGCCCTAACTAAATCTTTATTTCTTGTTTCATTTTTTCTTGCTGGGTTACTTCATACTTTAATTTACTACAGATTATTTTATTACCTGCATACTATTTTTAACACTACTGCAAGCCACTTTAGCAACCGACCTCCTTACTGTCCTGAAATGTGTCTCTCCGTTAAAATTCTTCCTCTACAGTACCAAACGAAGTATAAATTATATTTACAACAAATATGTGAATTTTCAAAGTTTCTTTACATTGCAGCCAATAAATATTTTTTGCATCATCATCAATCAGCCAATCGCGTCCACTGCTGAATATAGGCCTCTCTCAGTTCTTTCCAGTGTTCTCTACACTGGGCCGCTTGTAGCCAGTTTCCTGCTACACGTTTTATATCATCGGTCCATCTGGTCGGTGGTCGTCCTCGGCTTCTTTTATAGTTTCTGGGCCTCCATTCCATAATACGTCTTGTCCACCGTCCATCTTGTGTTCTGGCTAAGTGCCCTGCCCAGTTCCACTTAAGCGTCGTGGTTCTTTCGATGACATCTTGAACTCCTGATATTTGCCTGATTTGTTGGTTTGTTATGTGGTCTCAAAGGTTCACGTTCAGCATTGCACATTCCATGGCTCGTTTTGTAACTCTCGTTGCATACAAAATAAATATAAAAAGAGTGTGTGGTAAAAAAAATTTGCCTTCACATCTTCATGGTTTAAATATTTCATACGAACACCATAGAATTTTCTCAAAAGTATACATGTCAGGGTTTTAATATTGATTAAAATAATTATCCACTATAATTATAAGGGGTGTCACAAAATTTTACGAAATATTTAAATTTAATAGAAAACATCGCTTTTTTCTTTAGATTGTAATATAGGATTCTTATAACACTCTATTGCATAAATGTGGTTAAATATCGTTGATGCAGAGTTGAATTTCTTCCTTCAATGCACGGATGGTTGTAGACTTGTTGGCAAAGACCATTGACAATAACTCCATAAAAAAATCTAATAGTGTTAAATCACACGATCTAGTGGACCAATTCTGATCACCAGCATGACAGGTCACACGTCTAGGCAATGTCTCATGTACTAATTTAATTGTTTCACTGGCTGTATGGCACGTGACACCATATTGTTAAAACTACCTGTCTCCCACATCAATATCGTTTTATTTTGACAGCAATACCTCTCTTATCATGTGATATCGGGCACCAGTAACAGTCACTGCTAGACCAGTCTAATTTTTAAAGAAGTATAATGGTGCCTCCAGGGAAAAATCTGCACCAAGTAGTGATTTTTTTTTTTCAAAGGTCACATGTAAGTTTTGTTGCCACAGATCTTCAAATGTGGCAATTTTGACAATTAATAAAGCCAATAAGGTGAAAATGTGCTTCATGACATTGAAAAATAAGCATAAACTTGTTGATGTTCAATTATCCATTCAACAAATTCTCTCGCTGTGCATAGTCGTTAGGCTGCAGTTCTTGTATCAATTGAACTTTGTAAGCATGGTCATGCAGATCTTCAGTGAGTATACGCTGTAGAGGTCTTCATGCAATTTGCAATTCTTATCCATGACAATCGTGTTTCTATGCCGATTTTACCCCAACAGTTCATAATTATCCGATAGATGACGCTATTTTAATTGTAATTTTTATTACAAATTAATTTACTTGTAGCGCCATCTGGCGGATAATGAAGTAGGGGTTGAACCGGCATAGAAACTCTACTCACGATACCGAGTTTGCGTTTCTGGACTTTCACCAATATTCTCACGCATAGTTTCGATATTGACATTTGAGCAGCTTGCTTTTGGACGACCAGTGTGCTTAGAATCATCAACTGATCCAATCTTCCTAACTTTTTCAATTACTTTATTCACAGCTACCAAAAGTAAATCAATATTCTGATCATATTTTGTACGAAATTTTTGAACTCTGATCGCAAAACTTTCATTATTTTTAAAATATTTTTCAACAATGAAAACTCTTTGTTTTCTAGTGTAATGTTCCATATTTATTAATTCTAAACTGTCAGCTGTCTGCTAAACTGTTTTTGTTTTGTTGTTTTTAAATCTTTATTGCAAAATTGACGGCAAATTCAAATCTTTTTTTGAATTATGGAACACACCATATTTTTTTGTCAATACCATTGGGCACAGGTAAAAGTTTTAAGTTCACAGCATTTTTAAGCAGCTGACTCTATTAAAATACATTTTTTTAATTTCCTTAACCCTGCTGTACCGTTCGAGTAAACTACAGAAATGTACTGTTCGGGTCAATATGACCCAACTATGATTTACGCTCCCTAATAGAAATAAAATAAGCTAATGGTGCTAAACAAAACTGTATTAATAAAAAATTATAGTTAATTAAACAATAATTATATTGTTACTGTAAATTAAACCTTATTAACAAAAATAAAAAGCATTTTTTCTTTCCCAGAAAACCCTAAGAACAAATATCTACAAAATTTAATTCAGTTTACAACTGGGACAGTAATAGAAAGAATGGGTTTTACAAATATGTTTATGACATATACAACATAAAATATTAGTCTTGTTATCCCTTTTAGAGCAAAATTTACAGCGTGCTCGTTTAGCAGGCGGAGTTGGATGGTCCATAGACGGTTCACTAGAATTTCCATCTTCTCTACTCGCTTCTGCTCGTGTTCTTTTTACCAGTTCTTGTGAGTCTTTAGTTCTCGGTAAATTTTTCCTGGAAAGGATAAGTGGTTTCACCAGTGTTTTTCCCGACTCCTCAAGAAAAATTCGTCGTTTTGTAAGTTTATTGGTATTCCATTGGGGATTTATCGATGTTCATAAACCGAACGCGTTGTAGGCAGAAATGTCCAGCATATTGTAAAAAACAATCATGGGCCAGCGATTTGTCTTCCTCTTACATGTATATGTACCAACAAGCTGATCTAGAGTATCCACTGCCCCCTTACTGGAATTGTAATCTAAAATAATTTGGGGCTTCTTGTCAGTTCTGTCACTAATAGCCTTTTCATGATGCAAAGTACTCATAAGAATAACATTTTTATTCTTTTTAGGAATATAGTTAACAACAGTGGTATCTTGTGTGAAGTAAAAAGACGAACTATGAACTTCTTTATTCGCAATTTGTGCTGGAAGCTCTCGTTTATTTTTTCTTATAGTCCCCAGCATTGTATTTTTTCTTTTTAGAAGAAGTTGTCCTAAATTGTACGATGTAAAAAAGTTATCACATGTAATATTGTGGCCTTTCAAATCACTACTCAAGTCGCACACCACACGCATTCCCTGATTTCGTTCTGGCGCGGCACCTGCTTCCTTTCCTGTATAGATCTGCAATTTTAGAGCATAAGAACTTTTACTGTCACATAAGGCCCAAATTTTTATGCCATATTTCGCTGGCTTGCTTGGAATGTACTGTTTGAATGGACAGCGGCCTCTAAAGGCAACTAATTGCTCGTCGACGGTAACATTTTCATCAGGGTTAAAAAATTTTGGTAGATTTTCAACCCATTTTTCCCAAATTTCACGTATTGCAGCAAGTTTATCAGTACGTCTCCTATCCTGTCTAGTAGTCTTGTTATCAAAACGTATTACTTGCGAAATTTTTGTAAATACTTCAAGGGACATTGTTGCTCGAAATATACTACGACCCGTTTCTTCATTCCACAAACTTTTAGTTGATTCACCATGGGACTTAAAAACTCCAGCTAACAATAAGAGACCAATGTATGCTTGAAAACCAATTTTATCTAAGTCTTTCCAGTTGTTTCCAAAAACACGCCGTCCTTCCATGTTGGTCATATTTATAATTTGGTTTGCAACTATGTCAGAAAAGAGTGCGTCAAATGAATTTTTAATATCGAAAATTCGTGCACATGCGTACCTTGTAACTCCTGGAGCATTATTTATAACATTGGCCGTAGAAAAACGACCGCGTTGATAAGGAGGGTCGAGCAACCATTGGATAGTATCGTCTTTTGAAGGAACCGTTACAGAAGGTTCTACAGGATGTTGTACGTAGAATGGAACACCAAAGGATTCATCACTACTTTCTTCCTCACTCTCACTACTTGTATTGTTTTCTGTTTCTGATATGCACTCATCACTCTCTGACACGTTCGCGAGCTCGCGAAGCTCATCTTCGGTTAGCGCTCTACGGTGCAACATTATCAACATGCAAACATAGACTGAAATTTGAAATATAAACGAATAAATGAATGTGCTTGGCCTTGGAATATTAGTGTTTTACCACTTGTCTATCACCCCCACTTCCTTTTACGTGACATGCCATTCTACCTGACATCGTCCAGCTACACTACACATATTTTACAAGTTCTAGCTTGTAGAAACTTGTTTTTATTTATAGACTTACCTGACTGAACTAAACATACCTATACAGGTAATTTTTAACGGTTTAAATAAGTGGGTCATATTGACCCGAGCGTACCATAGGTAACAATTTAATTTTTATCAAAAAAATGAGCAAGTTGATTTTTTATTTTTTATGCAATTGAAAGACCTCATATTAAGTAATAAAGTCACGAAACACCAAAACGTTACGCCGCGTAATAATTTGTAAAATAAGAAATAATTTTTTTTTTTGGGTCAAATAGACCCGAACAGGACAGCAGGGTTAAAATGTCTCGTGCTGTAAATTTCCTTCCACTGCGAGAAGATTATAAACAGATTTTATAATTTGTTCTCTAGGGGTATGATAGAGGAAAATATTTTAGATCAGCAATATATTGTGGTAAACATTCCAGTTTTGTTATTTTGTTTTCCAAATACCTAGTAGTTATTTATCTTTCGATTAATCTGACTATTTGAAATCCCTTATTTTGTGTACATACCGTTAACTCTCTAATAAAGGTATATAAATACATCCCTGGACAATTCAAATGGGGTAAAGCAAACAAATTTAAATTGGAGGATTTAATTTATACGAGGTGTGTTTGATAGATTACTAGAAAATGGAAGATACAATAGAACCTCGTTAAGGTAAAAAACAAGGCAAGGACAAAATACTTTGGAATTTTTAATGTATTAAGGTTTTATATAAGAAACCAGTGTGGGAGGAAGGGGGTGAGTTAATGTAGTTCCTATTTTTACTCAATTGCACCAGAAAGTGTGTTAAAAATACATACACATGTTACATGGAAATAAAACTTTCTTTAAGGTTTAGCCAACTGAAAAAAAGCTGTGAATTTTTTAACAGTTTTCGGTTTATAAATCATCTTGATTTTCAATGATAAATAAAGAGGAGAATACATTATCTTTTATGTTGCTACAAAATCGTAGATGGAGTTTGTAGCTTGCCGTCAAAATTATCTACTTTATTATATTCAATATTGTTACTAACTGGTTCCAATTTTATTATATATAATAAAAGTATAGGTAGGAAATCAGATCAATCCTCACAATAGACTAGACTGAAATAGAATAGACTGAATTGAATGAAAGGAGGAAAGGGCAAACAGAATTGACTCAGTGTCGTCGAATTGGAGGACATCTGCACGACAAGAGAGAAAATTCACTGTAGGAAGCACTGTATGAAGATAGATGGATAATGGTGAATTAAAATTACACTTACCGCTGTTTGATGAACACAACTGCGTGCAACAGGAACCACAACGAAAATGAATTCCATATTTGATATTTAGACCGGCTAGGAATTTATTTATTATTTAGCGTATGGACTTTCACAGTACGATAAATATACAAATACAATTACAATAATATACACATATATATATATATATATATATATATATATATATATATATATATATATTATATATATTATTCAAACACTAAAAATAGTAAAAATAGAATGAATAGAATGAATGACACTAAATATTAATGTCCAATTTACATAGCCATTCAATTGCTTCTGGGGAACATTCCGCAAAGTCCTGGAGGTTTCCACGGTAGGCACGATTCAAGCAGTCTGAAACACAATGGCTTATGGTCTGTCTAGATTCTCCGCAATCGCACTGTGGACTTTCTGCACGACCCCACCTGAACAGCGAATCAGCACATTTACCATATCAGGTACGTATACGATTATGCCTTGCCCAAATGGACCGGGGCAGATTTGATCCGATGAATCCCTGAGTTGGGGTGGATATCTTAATATAGTCCGATTCTACTGTTGGCATCCATCTTGTTGTCCATTGCCTATGTATATCATAGGAATTCCCAATTTTTCGGGCAGATCGTATTGGAGGATTTCTAGATCTCAATCGTTGGTGCTCTGTTGAGATGTCTGGGATATCTTGATGTATTGGTAATTGTACGTTGGCTACAATTTTCTGGTACTCTCTCACTAATGCTGCTGTACGGCGTAGATCTGGTGGAGCAATATTGCTCAGAGTAGGCAGCCATCTCACTGGCGTTGATTTTATTGTTCCAGTGATTATTCTCATGGTTTGGTTAAGTTAGCCATACTGGTGCACAATATTCTGCCACTGAAAAAACCAAAGCTAGAGCAGAGGTCCAAAGAGTATCTGCAGAAGCACCCCAAGTTGTTCCAGCAAGTTTTGATATTAAGTTATTTCGCGTTTTTAGTTTACCGGCTGCGTGTGTAAGATGACTTTTGAAGGTGAGTGTTCTATCAAGTGTGACGCCTAGATATTTGGGTTGTTGTTATGTTTGATAGCTGTGTCATTTAGAATTACATTGAGAGCATCGCCCGCAAGTTGATTCGACAGGTGAAAGAGACAGGTTTCAGTTTTGCTTGTGTTAGGACGTAAGCGCCAGTTCTTAAAATAGTTACTTAGTGTAGATAAGTCCTCGTTTAGAGCTCGTTCTCCTGCTTCTTTACTATTATCTTGGAAGCCAATGGCCAGGTCGTCAGCATAAGCAAATTTTCTCGATTTTGTTTCAGGTATATCTGCTGTATAAAGGTTAAATAATAAAGGAGCTAGCACTGAGCCTTGAGGTAAGCTGTTGTTAAGTTTTCTAACGTTACTCTGTGCATCATTCATATATACCTGAAACAGTCTGTCAGTCAGTAG